AACCATTTCAATTCAGTGAAAGGAATCTTTCTGACATTGGAGGTTGCAGATCACATCTATAACACACCAGCTGGCACTAAATTAAGATTGATGCTTCTTATTATAGTTAACTATCACGCAGATAGAGAAAAAAAATATTTTAAATTTACAAAATAATGTGAAAAATTGAATGTTCCCTTCAACTCTGTCAGTAAGAGCTAATAACACTTTTGAACAAGCATCAGTAGGACTAAATTTTTCATGGTATTACATATGCCAACCCAGACCTGCAAGATATGACTTATTCCAAGGCACATGCTTAAGAAGAACTGCGTGGTGCAGAGCTGCACATCACATTGGTTCTCAGATCAGTAATCCTTCAAGTATTTTGCAAAATACTTTGAGATTCAGCACTTAAAAAACAACCTGCATCACCTTAATTACTGCAGTCCTGCTTGCTGAAAAAACACCACCCTTTCCTTTATGAATCATCTTCCTCTGAGTTAATTTAGAGCTGTAACTCATTGGAACAAAAGGGACTGTTCCTATAGATAAAACAGGACACAGGTAAATTGCTACTAGGTGCACGTTACTAACATGGGGAAACTCTCACAATGAGTCTTCCTTGGTTTACTTCACATGAAAAACAAAAAAAAAAGTTCAGTATAAAATATCAAGAGCTGATTTGACATAGGGGCAAATTCTGCCACCCTCAATCCACTTGAAAAGTAACTGAAGCTGCAGCTGAACTAATTAAAATCACAGAATTAGCTACTAATACTATGAGATGTAATTGGACTGATGGTTTTTCATGTCATACATTGCATCATACACAGTCAGTCTTGGACCGCACAAAGCATGTGCCTGGCTGTATAACATCAAAGAAATTCAAAGCGTTGATGCATGGATCCCAAATACCAAATTACTAATGCCCATGGATGAGAGCTATGGAGCACCTCGGCCTCCTGCTCACTGAAATGGGATCTACTACTTGCTCAGCCTCCAAAGAACTTTCCCCTGTGTGATTTGGTAGGAGACTTAATCTTTTGACCTCTGAACACATGTAAGAAAGCCTCATCCCTATTTTCAGCTGCCACACCAAATTCAAGAAGACATGCCAGTTGTGTTCTTGCTTTCCTTAAGTCCGCTGACACTGCATAAATTTCCCTTCCCAAACCAAACATTCAGAAATAAATCATGAAGCAGACCTTTAATAAGTGAAACTCCGGCTTGCCTAAAAACAATAAATCCAATAAACAACAGTTTGCACTGGGACTACGAGCAGAACATGCTGAGAATTAACATGCAACACATAAAGGCAAATAACAACTTAACTGAATACATATGGGATCAAGACCCAAAGTGTGGCTGAAACATGAGCAATTAAATCTATATTCATCCTGGCTTGACTATCAGAATTGAATTCGTTCAGCAGCAGCCCCCACTAGGATTTCACTGCTCAATATATTTTTATCACTATGCAGTTTAAGCAATATTTTTGATCAATTCGTACAATCAACATTTGAACGCGGTAGGACATTATTCCTCTGTTGGCAAAATGACTTCTTTAAACCTTGTTAATCAATCTGCCCAGTTTAAGTTACTGTACAACTTATGCAGGCAGCTCTGCAAATAGCGGCAGCTGGAAAGCGGCTTCCAGAGACACTTGGTTGGCATCGCCACTTACGTGAAACTCCTCGCCAGGAGCAAATTCAGGTTAATTGCGGCAGGGTGAATTGTTAGGGGCCTTCTGCCAGCAGATGCCTGGTTTCTTTAGCCTGGGGGACTTCAAACCCCCGGTCCTTCCTGAGACTTCTCCACTGATAACACCTCCCCATGCAGAGCAGTGGCAGTTAAATTGTTTACTCCTGCTTGAGAGGGTGGAAAATTACTGATGTGCCTTCTCAGGGTCACCTTGTTTGCTAGGAAAGTTTTGATAATTAGAGACAAGACTGCTTGCCCTTCTCCATTATCCTGGAAACTACGGATGAGTTATGCTAAAATGACCGGATCTTGTTTTCTCCAGCGAAGCAGCACCCCATCCCACCAGCTCTGCGTGTGGTGTGCTCTCTGAAGAACCTGCAAAAGGTGGGAGACTGTCCTCGAGAAATGGAGATAACTAATGAGGGGAATGTAATGGGGCATCTGGGTATCTTCATTAATGAGTCCTATAAACTGCAGATCTACAGTTGGATTCATTCTCTTACTGTACCGATTTCTGTAATGCTGATTACTGCAGCAGCTGGGCATTTAATTACGCACAAATGAGAACAAAACCAAACCAGAGGAGAACAAAATGTCACAGCGCCGCAAGTTGCCCTGGCAGTCACTGGGTTTTACCGGCTTTTGAGCATGAGACAGGATATTCCACTTTTAAGAATACACCAAAACTTCCATCTGCGGGTGAGCGTGGTAAAAAAAGGACATACCTTCCCTCTCTCTCTTTCTCTTTAAGCAAGGCAAATAACACTACCATATTAAATAACACTACACTATTAAAACAGTAACTGCAAAGTAGCAGTTCCAAAGCAAACTTAGGAAATGGATGGCTCTGCAAGGAGCAGAGGCTGGCAGACAGCATGTCCTGCCACGCTCTTGCTCCCATAAAGGTAATTAATGGGGACAAGTTTCCAAAGGATGCTTACCCCATTTCCACTCCAGGGTACTGCTGGGGGATGGGGAAGATGGACAGACTGGTAGCACAACCCCATAAATTTACTCTCCCTAGGAAACTCAGTGTGAAGGCAGATGCTTGGAGTATTCAAAGCAGGCTACAGAGGTTTTCACGTTAGGCAGCAGCTTTTAAACCTGGTCTCCCCCTTAGGCAGATTCACTTTCCTTGTGCTTGAACTTCTCAAGGCAGACCAGATCCATAAAAATTATATTCTTCACCATCTAATCTGCAGTCACTATTTCAGGTGCCACAGCTGCCACTATAAATGTCTTTGCAGCCACATCTGGGAGAAATTTTCTTCCACAAGTGAATTTTTAGGATACGACACCTCATAAGTACTCAGTTCACTATTCTGTTAAATAATCTGTCAGAGCATGAAAAAACTCTTCAGTGTGCTCTATGACTAGGGGAAGCAGTTTATCTTGCTTTAAGTTAAATTTACATATTCTGCCAGTCCCTGTAGTACACAAGAACATAGCTCTGAGTCACTGGATCGCCTGTCAGCAGCCATGGCAGAATCGAAGACACTTTCAGTAATTGAAGGTAATTTGCTGTAACTAGATATGGTTAAAGGTCTCTCCAGCCAAATGGAGAATAACATAGATACTGGACTTACCATATCTACAATGTAGAAACAAGAAGTTCTTACTGTCATTGCAAATACACAATCTTCATTAGTAAATGCAATAAAGTTTTGCATGTAATCCATTTAGTGATGGCTTCTAGTTCAGTAAATTACATATTTATTGTTTGTTTTCATTATAATACCCAGAAAACCATTTATTTGTTTAAATGCTGCTACTTACTCTTTAAAGTTTTTCTTTTTTAAATAGCTGTTAGCAAATATAAGATATAGACACTGAGATTAATAATAAAAATTAAATGGTCCAGTGAGCCGAAGTACAAGGAATATTTTACTATGGAAACTGCAGATTTAGGAACTTTCACCACAATGACTTCACATCTGAATATAGAAACAGATTCATTCTTACATTAAATTTCACTTTTTAAAAATCTTAGTATATACTAGAATACAGAAAGCTGCAGCAGGCATTCAGAAAGACCATGGATGTGCGTTTTCCTGAGTTCATACTCTCCAGCTGGGAGGACCTGGGTTATGCCCTTGGGGAGCCATCCCCGTGCCATCCCATCCACACACCTGCAACGTGCCCAGTCCCACACCAGTGCAGGACACACATACATGGCAACACATCAGGAGTCTCCTTTGGCTGCACGCTTGTTGTCATTCCTCCTCTCCTTCCCCTTGCTGCCAGCTGAAGCCTTGATTCACGACCAGTATTGACTGCCCATCTCTGCCCTTTTCCCACATGTCAGCACAACTCCCAAGTGTAACCCTCATCTCCCAGCGATCGTCCCCATGAGATACAAGAGGGACTCGTGGAGCCCTCTGGAGCCACCCTTACAGGGAAGAAGCAGTACAGAGCTTCAGTGGGCTGTGATAGGTCCCCTAGGACAACGCCACTGGATTTGCCCTCAGGAACCCACAGCTCCAGTTTAAGACAAATAGCTTTTATTCAACAGGAGACGAGGTCTGCAATAAATGGGTCTATTTTAAACAGACAAGACAGACACTGGATGGTTTTCACGAAGAGCCACCAGTTCTTCCCCTACACTGTTCTGCCTCTGAGGACGATTCCTGCCTCAACACTAGTGCTGACCACTCAGTCCCACCATCTGCTACACCTTTCCCAATCCCATACAAGCTAGTGAGGAGTCTGCATTAGGCTCTTTCCCACCCACTGCTGGCAAACCAGACACCACAGCGGGGTGACAGGGTGATTAACGTGGAGCTCCCCCATTACTCACACTTTTCACGAGTGGCTGGATAGATGGTGCATCCCTATCTCTTTGCATAGTCAGATTAGACTATTTATTTTCTGTAAAGCCAGTGCACTACAAGCAACAATTTTGCTTCCTTGTAGAGACTGTTTGCAGGTGTTATCCTGGGCTAGAATACAGACAAATGAAAATCCCAGTCTGAAGGTTAACATGCAAATCCTCCTGAGAGACCAATATAAAACAATGTGCATTTCCTCTGCCAGGCTATTTAAAAGATGTCAGGCACACAGATGCCATTCTCTTGTGCTCAGAGACACTGTAACTGTGACCATTGAGCCATACTGGGCAGAAAGAGCATTCCCAATGGCACAGAAGAGGAAGGGTTTTCTTCCAGAGTAGTATCTCTAGAGGAACAACATCTCCATCTTATGCCAACCACTGGCCTCCTGTAGTCCCAACTGATGTTAGGCAAGACTAGTTAATATTTGAAACTAAGCAGAAGGCAAACATACCCAAACCACTAGCATTTCAATAGAGATCACAGTACCTAAAATAGCCACCACCTCGTCGTCCTGGATGACTTCTAGGGATCCTGAGACCACAAAGCAAAGAGCATCAACGCTTTCCCCAGCATGATAGATGAGGTCCCCCGGGGCGCAATGGATCGTCTGAAACTCCACAGCCAGGGCTCGCAGGCAGCCGTCGCTAGCCAGCCGGAAGGCAGGGTGCTCGTTAAAAACTTTCCGGTTTAGGTGCACGCAAATATCTGCTCTCATGTCCTTTGGGCAAATCGAGAGGACCTGAATAAAAGAAAGATGAAAAATAATCAGCTGGGAACGTGACACCAGGCCAGCGCACACTTTATGAAATAACTGAAAGGACGGATCTTAAGATCCGCCTGGGTGGATCCATTCAGTTATTTCATAAAGCTTCCAGTGGGAGTTTTATCTTCAATTGGGGTAGTCTTTTTCTACCCATCTACTGCTTTCACTGCAGGTGAAAGGGCGAGATGGAAGAAAGGACTATTCTGTTACACTGTTCTCACTCCTAAGATTTTTCACACTTGTTTTCCAGAATTGCAGGTGGCACTATTATGTCCTGTTTGTGGATATCCCTCCAGACTCGGTGCCCAGACTATCCACCCGCTGCTACACTCAATCCCTGCAGGAGCACAGAACGGACGCTCAGAGCTGAAGGAGCTTGAAGACATGCAAAGACGGACCATTCACAATAGCAAACATCACATGTTGCTCACATCCAGAAAACCTAGTCTTCAGAAGTCTTGATGTAGATGAGCACTTACCGACGCGTATCCAAACACACCTAGGGTTTCGTTTTAGTGCCATACAGACATATAACAAGTAACCTGCCCTGCAGGGCTTACAGACTAGAAAATCCAAAGAGCTTGAGATTAGAGCAAAAAGAAAGTATTATGAAACCTTATGAAACGTAAAGTAAAGGTGAGTGAAAAACTGTCCTGTGAATATGAAGATGTCTTCATAGCGGATCAATTAAATAAGACCTTCGATTAATTTCTTACCTTAAGTATCTTAAAATACACCTGAAGAAAGAAAGTGAAAACCTGTGGGTCTTGTTAGGTTTGTAAACTCTGTGTTTAACATTTGCACATCCTCCTAAACACACTAACGTCCTTATAACTCTAAAATGCATGGTAGCTAATTGCACTGAGAAACATAAAAAACCTTTTAAAGTTTTCCTAGGATAAATAATAGAAAAGAGCATGAGATCAAGAGCACTCTGGAAATCTCATATAAAGAAGACTGCAGATCAATAGTACTGATTAATTTCTCATTGTGTTGAATTAATCTGGCAGCTTGCTCTGCAGAGAGTGTGAGAGACAGGGACATTGGGTCAATGTGTTGACTACCATTGAGTATCAGCAAACAGAGGGAGACTCAGGTAACCCTGACTAAGCTTTGAGGTAAACGGTCATGTTAAGATTGAAGTAAAGCCATGATTTTCATTTCTGTTTAATGCAGAAGAGGTACAAAACATAAAGGAAGTACTAAAGGTCCTAAAGCATAGCATGGGCAAATAGTAAACAATTTCCAGTTTAATTAATAACATTTAGTCCATTTCTTATTTTAATGGATCAAAATTCCTTTGTGGTCAAAGATATAATTAACGTGAAAAAGAAGAAGTAGAAGTTATTCTCCTATCCTCTGCACAGTCTGAGGCTAGAAGGGGCTACAGCAACCATCTGCATTAACTGCTTGCACTATGGGTAGCTCACAATTTTCATATCAATGCCAGAATACCTGGTAAAATTAGAGACTAGGAGGCCTTGATCTAATGTTTTCAAACGATTTAGGGTAGTTGTTCCAACAGACAGCAACTCTCTCTTTTAAAACATGTGCTGTTTCTGAACCGATTTTTTAAATTATTTTCAGCCAACAGTCAGTGGATCTCATCATGTTGCTTACATAAAAGACTTGAAATCATCGGAAATCTCTTCCACATGTAGGTGTTTACAGAATGTGACCAAGTCATCTCTTGAGCTCATCTTGAATAAACAAGAGAGAGGTGATGCTTCTTGTGCCTAACACTATGAAGCACAGTATCTCCCTCGAAATTTCCCCATAGCATGAGGTTTCCTCACTCACAACCACATTCCCAGATCTACCGGCTAATTATTTTTAATTTGATTTGATACAGACTCAGTCGATTTTGCTTAATGCTATTTTTCTGTAACAAAATGTTGTACAGAACAGATTAAAATACCGTGCATAAGTCTGTTTTATCATAAAAATTAATAAGGAACACATTTGACAAGACATATTCTCCATAAACCATCATTTGCATTACTAACAATGTCTTGTCTGAATCACTGTTGACCATATACCCTATCACACTTCCATAATTTCATTAGGGGCAAATGTCAATTTTACAAACTTATACTTACCTGAGTCATTCCATACACCATTAGAAATATGGACACACCTTAATTTTTCCATTAAAAAACAAAAATTACTTTTGGAGTGATTTTTTCACCACAGCCCTACTTCTGGATCAAACAGAAAGCTCGTCTTTATTATAACAAAATAGAAACATGCCATCTTTCTTCTCAACAGCAATTTAATGAAAAATTCTGCTTTCTTTTATATCACGATTGATGATTTTTAACATTTTTATCTACTCTGGGGCCTAAATCAAGGTCAGAAGTTTTTTACGTCCCTTTAATACTTTCAGTAATGTAAGTGCTTTTCACTTAACAAGGCCATGAGCTATGAATTCTCAAATACTGCTCTTAGGAAAAATGTGTGTATTCATATATGACTTATTTCCAAATTTTATCTTTTAAGTTTCCAAACTGCAGGAAAAATAGTTGAAGAATTTCTTAAATGTATCCAAAAATTAGTTAAACTATTGCAGAGGTTGTTACTGTAAGATCTGGAGATGTTCCAGGACCCTTTGGTTTTTTGGAGTGTAAATGAATTGTGTCCTTCAAGAATAAAAGCCACTTGGATGCAAAGTAGCATACTGTTTCCTCACAAATACAGAATTAAATACAGAGTATTAAAAGTGAGCACTCAAAGCATTACTCTTTTTATAGACACAACAAACATATCTATCATCACACACTGTAATGCGAAGAGATAGAAAAAATTCCATTGCACAGAAAAAGCCAGTCTTAGCATAATTCAGGAATTTACTGATGTCATGATAAAGTGATTCTCCTAATGACATATTACTGTATGGAGATATATGGAGATATCCCATATCAACTAGTACAGCAGTAAATGAGTAATGATCCAAGAGTTAGCCAGGAACAAACATTCTTTATTTCAGTTTTCTTGTCTGTTATGCTGCAAGTACTTAGAGAATGAAACAGATGACACCTAAAGGAAAGACTTAATATTAAAAGATTTGGCAAAGGAGCTTTGACTGATAAAGATAAATGTAGATATATGTAGGGGAAGAAAAGAGCAAAGATAGACAATCTCAATATTCAGCTCTGTGTTTACTGTATGCTCCAAGCACAGGGCTTCATGAACTCCAATCTGACTTCGCAGCACTTCTTTTTGTGTTTACAGATACCAACGTCATGAATTCAGAAGGAGTCTCACAGATGCCACCAGCTTCTCTATTAGTTGTACTGTAGAAAGGGGTTGTTGGTGACACAGATTACAGTAAGTAGTAATTTTCCTGCTTCCAGAGAAGACACATAATATGATATAGGACTACACAGAAGCATTTGGAAGCTAATGATAAACAGTCCAAAGAACCTAAGAGCAGCAAATGATAAATGAGCACTTCAAATTCAGATAAATATTCTTCTGAAAATGACCTCTTATTGGCAATACAAGATTTAGACATTCTTATTGTAAAATGCTCTTACTGAGATCTCAACATTTTTAAGGCAGCATGCAAACTGGTACAAGCCAGTAGCAACATGGTTGTGTATGAGTCCATACACACATGGGTGTAAAAGAGAAATTCAATTTAAGGGAGAGGATATCCTGCAATGATCAATCTATTGTTTCACTGTTAGGGAAATGCCTCCAGCACTTCATGTTAGCAGAATGAAAGTTCAGCTGGGACATTTATTCTAGCCTGTGTATTCTTTCAGCAGCGTATGAAAACCCACGAAGATAAATTTCTGAAGAGGAGATTTCCTTAGAGATTTCAAGACCTTTCTCAGTGAAACCTGTAGTTTATAAGCGAGGCAGGATGTTAAGTTTGCTGACTGCAATGCTTTACTAACTGATGGTTTTGGAGCACATGACTCGGAGCAGGCAGTCTGCAGGGACCAGATGCTTGTGCTGCTACAGAAGTTGCTCCGTAATAAATCTGTAGCCACAGACTTTGCAGTCAGCTATCCCTTATGCATCCAAGCAGCATAAAATAAAAGAACCTGCTACATTTCAATGCAAAATCAGAGGAGAAAGTCGAATTCTACCCAGAGGAATATCTTCGCTGGTTGTATAAGCTGTGTCTCTACCAGAAAAGGAGCAAGGCTCCATGCCACGCATGAACAGTACACATGTATCCACAAAGACCTGCACCGCTACAAAGCTGAGAGAGGAGAAAGTAAAACACAGGATAACATTTATCACTTCCCTTCTCTGCACAGAAAATTCAACCTCCTCAAAGTCAGTATAAGACAATTGCTGAGCTCCGTTATCACCCTCTGCTGACTGGCACCCAGCTGATACGAACCCCAACACAATGACACCCAATGCACAGATTCAACACTGCTGCCATCTCTAGAGCACCCTGCGGCACACGTAAAATGATGGAGGTGACCAAAAAGCTTGTGGTTGCTGGTAGAGATGTGGAAAGGCAGTAACCAGCTCTGGAAAACTCCCGGAGAATCGGCACAAAACGTCTCACTATCTTTTCTGCTCGAGATCTGTACGGGGGGAATAAAATTCCCAAGGAGGTTCCATCTGATTTTTTTTCCTCTCCCATCCGTTCCCTCAGCATGCTCAGACAGTTTAAGATAAGCCCCTTGAACAGCTCAAAGAACTCTACAGGGAGCAGAGATTATAAAGAACTCAAAGAAAAGCCAATGAATCGAAACAAAAACCATACGGATGAAGAGTGTGTCCAAACAATATCTTTTAGGAAGGGTTTAAGTATTTTTAAAAAATCATCCCCAGCTGGAAAACACTACAGGACGGCTTAGCAAATACTACAGAATCTGTTAAGACTTGTTAACAAAAAGGGCAGAGGCCAGTGAATCATGAACACTATCTATTTGCAATCTTCTTTCAGCACACAGGTTTCTCACTTTCTCAGGGTTATAGCAATGGGATATATTGACTGATATTTGAGT